GGCCGCTGCAGCAGCAGCGGCAGCTGCTGCTGCTGCCAAAGCTGCGACTGGGGCTGCAGCAGCAAGGCCTGCTGCTGTTGCTGCAGCAAATAGCTCAATGACTTCTTTCGCCCGGCAGCAGCAACTTCTATGTCCTTCTTAAGCCTTAGTGAGACACCACAGCGCTGCGCTGCCGCTGCTGCTCCAGCTGCCGCGTCTGCTGCTCAAGGTTAGGTCTTGCTGCAGTTTCGCTGCAACACGCAACAGCGAGCAGGCCATCCACAGCAACAGCAGCAGCAGCAGCAGCAGAACACCGGAATGAACGGGTGTGTAACCAAATAGCTGCTCCACAAGACCAGGGGAGAAGCTGCTGCTGCAGCTCGACCCGGAGCTCGTCAGCAGCTGCAGCAGCAGCGACAGCAGCAGCTGCAGCGAAGATAGCAGCAGCAGTGGAGCAAAACTCGCCGCAGCAGCAGCAGCAGCCAAGGAACAACATGGTCTCCAAGCAACAATGACAGCAGCAGCAGCAGCAGCAGATAGCGCTGCAGAGCCGCCGCCTGCCCATGTAAGCACACTCGACGACCCACCGGCAGCAGCAGCAACTGCAGCAACTGCAGTAGCAGCATCTGCTGCTGCTGCGCGCTCATCACCGCGAGGTATAGATGAGGCTGATGCGGCCCTAGAGCCGCCTGCTGCTGCTGCAGGGGCCCCTGATGACCCTGTAGCAGCTGCGGCACCGACGGCTGCAGCAGCAGCAGCAGCAGCAGCAGAAAGAACAGCAGCAGCAGTAGCAGCACAATTTCCGTGGGATGAACTGCGTGAGGCCGCGCTAGAGGCCTGCTGCGCTGTGGAGAAGGAGCTGACGGCGCTGCTGCAGGACAGCAAGAAGAAGTACAGCAGCAGCAGCAGCAGCAGCAGCAGGTTGCATGACTCATGTGTTGCTGCTATTGCGCTGCTGCAGCAGCACATGGACAGGCTGAGTGAAGGCCTACCGGTCTTGGCTGCAGCAGCGCAGCGGTCTGCAGCAGCAGCTTCGCAGGAGTCAGCAGCAGCAGCAGCAGCAGCGCTGCAGCAGCAGCAAGCAGCAGCAGAAGCAGCAGCAAGTCTCCTGGCTGCCTTCCCTGTCAGAGAAATGGTGCTTGTTGCAAGAGATGCAGCAAGAACAGACAGCGCGAAGTTGCTGCTGGGAGCAGCAAACCTGCTGCGGTGTCTGCTGCTGCACCTGCAGCGGCGGCTGCTGATGACGCCCCACCCAC